AGAGAGAGAGAGAGAGAGAGAGAGAGAGAGAGAGAGAGAGAGAGAGGGAGAGAGAGAGAGAGAGAAGGAGGCAGGCAAGCACAAAGATGAAGACGATAGGGTGAAAGAACGAGAGACTGAGGCAAACAGACAGTCATAGGGGAGGACACGAGACGACAGCAGTACCGGTGAACAACGAAAAGGGCAAAGGGGCCAACAAAGACACACAAACGGGGGGCACCTCCCACATAGGGAAATACAACGACCATCCCCAACCGACGACGCACCCTAGCTTGGCAAGCTTGGCCACGTCCCAGAGCGCCAGCGTGTTCCACGGCGTCGTGACCCCCGTCAGCTCCACGGTTTCCCCGCCCTGGAAGGCGTGTCCCGTGAGGGCCGCGCCGACGACCAGATCTGCGGGCCCCATGTGGGCCTCCATGCCCGATACGGCGTCCTTCCCCACGGTGGTCTCCAGAGACTGGTCGCCGATCGAGGCACAAAACACGTATACACGGCACGAACAAATCGCGTGGCGAACGGGGTCAGGGGGTATGGGGGGAGGGGAGGAAGGCCACCCCCGTGTACTGGGAGTCGAAAGTGCAAAAGGATGCGTCATGTATAAGGGGTGAGAAAATATGGTATGCTGGTATGGAAAACAACAAACATACGATGTTTCCCTTCCTAAGGTTGAGCCGCTGCGTCTGCAGGACCGCTTGTTCATTTCTCGCGTCTGTTCTATTGGCGAGCTTGGGGGTGGTGGCGGGGGGGGGGGTCGGGGGGAGACTTGTTCGTCTCGTTTCGTGTTCACAAGGCGGTACTTGCTTGGTTGACGCAAAACAAAGGGTAGACAGACACCATACCTCGGCGATTTCGTTGCCGCTCCGCAAAGGGCGTCGTTAGCTCAAAACGGACATTAGCGCGGAGGCAATCCCAACCTATACTCCACAATTTTTCAAAAGAGAACACAAAATACAGACAGCGGCAGTTGGTTTGGTAGGGCTTTCATCCAGAACTACATGCTTCTGTGAAATAGGAACGAAACCGTACACAATTATTTTTTCCGAAGATTGGAAATAAATAGACGGCAGTGGTAAGGTAGGGTGTTGGTGTTCAAGAGTACCTGGAACATGACAAGGTCAGCCCCGTCGCGAGAGGCGAATCCCAGCAGGGCGTTCAGCGCCGGCGTGAACTTTCCCCACGGCGTCACCTCGAACACGTTCACCACGCCCGCCGCACCCCTCTCGCCCCCCCCTTCCTCCCCGACTGACTCGACGCCGCGGTCGGGCGGCGCCTTTCTCTCTGCTTCCCTAGCAGCCAGAGTTATGGACTGCAATAGCGGTGGGGTTGAGTCGGCGGCGGCGGTGCTGGTTGTGGTGCCGTGTTGATCCGCTGACGGCGGCGGCGTTCCTACGGCGATGGCAATGCTGTCTGCGTAGAGCAAGGCCGTGTCGAGGAACTCCCGCACCTGGGTGTCGGTTGCAATCGGGCGTTTCAGAAAGAAAAAAGGCGCTGGGTGTATGAGAAAGGGAGCATGGACAGGGGTGTGGACGGTCGACGATGCTTTTGGGCCAGAGACCTTCGTGCACGTACGTGTACATGGTGAGGGAGACGGAATGGTTCAAGAGGGGGAGGGGGTGACAAGCGTAATACATGCTCGTAGTATTCCGAGCTGCCCTCGAGGGCGTGTTTGGTGCGGGCGAGGGCAAGGGCCGGGAAAAGGCGACCGAATAAGCTGCAATGGGATGTGCAACTGACGCACTCCTCGCCCCCATCAATGTTAGGTATGTGCCTTGTGTCAGAGGCACGTGTGTGGGTAACAGAACGACTCGTCTGAGACCCTGGAACAGTGGGAGATGAAGCGAATAAACGATTGGATGGACGACAGCGCTGGCGAGGGGAGCTACCCTCCTGGGAAGTGACAAGACAGCAGTGTCGGGGCACTCGAAGCCCACCACAAACTTGTGTCAAAGTCGAAAAAAATCAAACCCTTTGGATAGTCAGCGAGTCAGCGCCTACTAGCCTGATAATGGTTCAGCGCTGACAATAGTATACAGTATACATAGTCTAAATGGTTCAGCGCTGACTAGTCCTCCTCCAACGGCTTGATTCCGGCTTGCACCGATAGTCCTCACCTTGACCAAGTCCACGGAGCGGTGCGCATTGTTCTGGTGCACTCTGGTACACACGCACAACCGCCGCCGTCGCCGTTGTTGATGCTGTTGTTGTTGTTGTCTGATATGCTGCTCTCCGCCATCTCCGCCGCCCGGTTTCTCGGGAGTAACCGCCACGGATGCCATGTTTGCACGTCCGCCGCGGGTCAAGAATGGGTCGCTGAATTGTACGGCAGGCGAAGGAGTTTGTTCGCAAGATAGAGTAGAGTTAGACGGGTTTCGCAGTTTGCCTGCTGTCGCCATCTTTTGCCGGTCAATGCACCAAATCGGGCAGAAGTTACCGTTTTTGTTCTAGTCCACAATGTGGTGCGAAAGCTCGCCAGGCCGTCTTTGCTGGTTTCAACTCGTGGCATGGTGTGCAGCAGGCAAACACACATACGATAACAAGTACACTGCTGTACCTCAGAATACTTGCACATGAGACCAAACCATATTAGCGATGTTTGCGAGGCCGTCTACGGACAAAGTTTGCGAGGCTGTCCACAAGGTCTACACGCTCATGACAGTGAGGCCACGCATACTCGGCGTCAGGCAACGCATACTCTGCGTCAGGCAGCGCGTACTCTGCGCCAGCTGTGTCTGTATCCATGATCGATGTATTGTATATTGTGAATAGTGCAGATTAGACGCAGCTGGAGGTACACGCGTGCGTGCTGGCTGCTGTTGATTGCGCCGCATGACGATAATGGGTCAGATCGCGGCCGGAGGGCGTCGTTGCACTACATAGCGGTACATAAGTGATTTTTCAGCGAACCCTCTCTTCCGCGTGCCCTGTTGATATGCTAGCCCCTCATCGGTGGTCGAGTTCCGAGCGATTTTGCAACTCGTGCAAGACGAACGCGGCAGGGAGATTCGTTGCCCATGTTGCGCGAACAGGATGCTATCTAGGTATTGTACAACACGTGCCTCTTTGGTGTTCATGTGTGCCCGCAGTCACGCGTTGAACCTTTGGGACTTGTGCGGCAAAGGCAACTCTGAGCCCTCTGTGTACAAGCAAGCGCAGCCACGACCTGGCTTGGCGCACTCATACCTTTTTCTCCGCTCTCTCTCTCACATACGAGGTTTTCGCTGCCCCTCAAGTGCCTTTGTACGCGTGCCTGCCGTCAATGTGAGCAGGAGCGGAGAGCCGAGAGGAACACGCGGTGCGAAAAAACAAAAAGAAAGGCGGCGGAACCTCGCTGCCCCTTACCCCTTGCCAACCGAACTCCAACCTGACCCTCTTATTGAGCCTCTTGAGCCTCTACTGCTGTTGCACGAGGGTGTGGGCGCCACCCGGTCTGTCGACAAGGGCGGCCGCCATGTACTCGCTGTTCTCCGAGAGGCAGAGCTTGCTCTCTCCCACAGGTGCGCAGATGGCACGCTTTGGTGCACTTGATGAGAGGGTCAAGAACTCTCGCGTGCTTGACTCGCGCATCTGATTCTTCAGAAGTTGATGATGCTATGGAATTCGAATATGCGTGTGGGGCACGATGCAGCTCTGGCCCTTGCGTCTCCCGGTAGGCTACACGAGTAGACGCGACGTCGATTGACCAGACATGAGAGCACCGGGCAATGACCGCTTGTTCTTGGCGCAGTCTATGCATCTAACCCAGGATCGTATTCTGTTGTAGCTTTCAACCGAAGCAGCAAGTAGCGCAGCGAACGCACCAGCGAATATATTTCACGAAGGCAGTACAAGCCCTTTCCGATTAAAATGCTCTGTGCATACACCCACACGCACCACGGGATCAGCGTTACTGGTCTCTGCCCTCCCAAGATGGGTTACCTGCTACTACGCCTCCGGAACCGTTTTGGATTTTGAGAATAATTCGCGAGGAAAGCATCAAATCCGTGTGTCTGTCATCCATTTTTTTCATCCTGGTGGCATTGGTGGCGATTGGCGCCAACACAACGGAGCACCCACCGGCTGCACGTTCTTGTTTTGGATACACAGACCAGGTGGGGCAGATCGTGAAGCAGGACTGCTGCGCCCAGACACACAGAGCGGGGGAAACGAATTCTGTTTCTCGATCAACGCCTGCAACCGCTCTATTCCGAGAATCTGTACATGCAGTATCAACTACCAACAGCAACGCCAGTGGCATCTTGGTGGGCCCTGAGTGTTGGGATTGCGTGCAAAACGTGGGGTCATCACAAGTACACACCAACAGAGAGTCTTCTTGTTCTGCTTGAAGCTCGATGCGAAGTATCTTCGAGGCTATGCAAACTGTGCATGGAGCAATGCGTCCAATAATTCAAGAAATACTATAGCTGCCACATGCCTGCCCGCAGGGGTCCCAAGCCCACCCCTCCCCCGCCCCGGCCCAACCTCTCCAAGCTGTCGTGCCCTCTTCCCCGCAATGGATGACCCGATCGACCATGCTTTGGCGCGGTACATAGCCGGCCGATAGATACATCCTTAGCTGACGGGATGCTGCAGTTATGTGTCTGCCTGCCCTCGCCAAACCCAAATCGCGTCGGAGTACAGATCTGCTTTCGCAGCCTCGTTGCTGTTCCTGGCGGGTTGTTCCCCCTCAAGCCCTCATGGACCTCGTCTAACCCCCCCCCGGGGCCTCACACGTGATGCTCAAAACCCTAACCCCAACCCTAGTTTTGAAACGTGGGACTACAGGAGACGCGACTCGAGAGTAAGAAAAAAACAAACTCAGTCACACAAAAACACACGGAGAATAGCTTAGCTTCCCCCATGGTAATGGCATTTAGAAGTGTGTGTTTTCGACCGCACTAAGACTGACGTACTTTCATCGGCCAGCCCGTTAGCGCGGTCGATGCTAATAATACAGACACACGAACACAAACTTTGCTTTTATTAAGAAACCTCCAATCTCAAACACCCTTGGCACCACTTAGGGCAGTATTCTCCGATTTTTTTTTGTCAAGCCATAAGCCCGCAACAACAACTTCACATGCGACCCCCCGCCCCCCCTGCCGCAAATGTGTGCTTTGTTTCAGCGGGGGATGAACCCCCCCCCCCGACCTTGCGGCGGCGGCTGTACGACCTCCTGGAAGCCAACACGAAGATGGGCATGCTGCTCGAGGCCGTGATTGTGCTGCTGATCGTCGTGAACGTGGTGTGTTTCATGCTCTCAACGGAGCGGTCTCTGGCGGACAACAGGACGGCCTGGCTCATCTTCGATTCCGTGGAAGTTTGCACGGTGAGTTCCGAGGGGATGAGGGGGGGGGTCTGTCGTTGATGGGTATTAATGGCTGTGTCGGTCTTATACTGTAGGTCGTTCTATGGCCATGCTCGGATAATATGCAGCTGTCCATACGGCAACGTTCGATCACTCTTGTGTTCAGCACAACTAAGTAGCATCTCCTTGCTCTTGGATGCATGCTCGCGGTAGAAGTTACGCTCCTCACCAAGTCGCTCCATGGAAGGCCGGTTTCCTCTCCACCCGCAAGTGCATACCCACCATGACAGCAGGAGCACAGCAGCGCCACCACCCCAGCACAGCAGGTTTACACACGTAACCAGCAAACCTGGCTAGATTCAGCTTCCTCCGTCGGAAATGTGGCCTCTCATGTGTAGCCTGGGGCCGCGACACGATGGCTGTCATCCCGTCTCCTGCTGTGCAGACCTGAGAAAGAGGTTGGCAGGCACAACTTTCGTACCTACGGACGTTATTTGTTCTGTCTCTCTTCGTGAACGATGCGCCATTTTCTCTCTTGAGTTTCTGTTTTTTCATTCTACCTTGTTTTTGGGTCACAGCTTGTGACCACAGAAAATGAGTGTTTTCCTTGCCCGGGAGGAGCCCTGAAGAGGTACTGCATCAAGCTCCAATTTATTCTTGTGGAGAGAACAACAAAATACCAACAAACAGCCAGGGATCAGCAACAGATGACACTTCTATACATTCCACTTCCCCAGCAAGGAAAACGAGGCCTCGCAAGTCTTGTTTGTGCACATGAGAGACCTGATGGTGTTTGTGTCCATGCAGAATTGATGACAAACAAATGACCCAAAAAAAGGAACATTGAAAAAAAAACAAGTGCATGGTTCACGCATCGCAACCCCCCATGGTGATGTGAAACCAGCGTGTCAGCCCCGAATGCATATAGTTGCGAACGGAGACGAATATCACGAGCGAGAGTTTCGCAGGGACACTCGAACAACATTTCGTTGTGGTTGAAAAACGCTACAAACACTATTGTGAACACGACCATCTGCCGGAGTGGTCTATCGGGTGGCGTTCAGGTCGTCATGTATTCGTACTCGTGGGTTCGAATCCCACGGTGGTCAAAGCATTTTTTTACCCTCTTTTCTCACATATTTTTCCATCACATCTGTTCGAACGAGACGTTCAGCAGGTTTCCGTACACTTAAAATACATATCTGAAACGTCTTCGATGGTTCGAAATCACACTTTCTTTGCAGAAAAACGGCGTGTTCGTTGAGCAGACAATGACCCAAAACTTCAAGATTCGATTTCGGAAAACCCACAGGCCAGCGGCGCCTGAGCGCATCTGCGACGCGTTTCGTGCGCAGTAGCAGCCGTTTTCATGCGCGTCGGCGTGTGCCCTACTTCCTAGTCTGGATCTCTTGGCTGTTGTCCCTGTCAGGAAAGGTTAGGACACCGTCAGGAAATGTCAGGACGTCGTCAGGAAGTGTTCGGACACGTCAGGAAATGTTCGGACACCGTCAGGAAATGTTCGGACACCGTCAGGAAATGTCATGACACCGTCAGGAAATGTCAGGAAATATGAGGACACCAAGAGCTTCCCGCCGATTTCGATTAACCACCCGTCCGCATCTCTGTAGGCGTGTACGCCACACTCGCGCGCCTCTAACTACGAAGCTTTTTTTTTCTCTCATAACCCCCTTCTCTTGCACACTCTAGCCATCGTTGTTTGTGCAAGCAGCCCGTTCTTGGGGACAGAAAGTCGCATCGTCAGCCCCCCCCCATATTTTTTATTGTTTTCTTGACCATCTTTCAACGCGAAGATTACCGCCATGTGCCTTCACCACCGTGTTGGACGTTCCGAGCGGTTCTAATCCGTCACAGAGGGAGCGCCTGCGCGTGTAGATTCCTAAGATTGTGGGTCCGTTGCCATTGCCCTAAAATGAACACTCATGCAATTTGAATCTATTGAATTCCTGAATTCCCGCAGTTTGAATCTAGTCAGTACCATACCTCTCCGGTGCTGACGTGGACCAACTATCGCTTCCTCCCTTGATATGCACCCCCACACTTGCATTCGAAACAAGTTCGTACCTCCCTGATGCTCGGGTGGATCGGTTTGCCGACGCCCTTAACACGCACTCCCAAGCATGAATAAAAAATACCACTCGAGTAGCAAATTATTTGGAACGACTACTGCCGCTGCCCTTATCACGCACAACTCCCGCACACATGAATCTAGAATATCGAAGAATCACATCTCTATGTTGTGCAGGTGGCCCTTTTCACCACCGAGTACATCCTGCGGTTCTACTCCATCGTTGAGGCTACCGACTCCAGCGGGCGGCCCCTGTACTCGGGCATGAAGGGGAGGCTGGTGTGGGCAGCAACGGATTTCTACTCGTGGGTGGACCTCGCCAGCATCGTACCCTTCTACGTGGATATGGCTGTGGCACAGGACCTGCCCGCCACGCAGTTCATCCGGTGAGGCTGAGGGCGTGCGTCTCTTTCTCTGTCTCCTTTTCTGTCTCTGTTTGATTCGTCCATTCGACACAGTTCTAAGCAGGGTCTGATCGATGCGTTTACTGCTGACAAGATATTTGTTGCTGCTGTTTTCATCGTCGTTGTCATCTTGTTGACATGGAAACCACGCGCATTCACCGATGCTATACCATTCAATGCCACGAAAAAGGTTGGCGAGGATGCTGCGCATGATGAAGGAGGGAGGCTTTGGCGAGGCCTTCGACGCCTTCGGGGACATCTACCGCAAGAATAAGACGATCGTTACCACCAGCGTCTTCGTCGGCCTTACCACCTGGCTCATGCTCGCGTCCTTCAACCACATCGCGGAGAGGGATAACCCCCGATTGGTCTGGATCGTGAGTGGAAATTGTTGCCGTCGCTGCAGTTCATGGGTTTGGATTTGTTGGTGGTGCTGGCAAAACGGTTTGTCATTGGTGGTGATGCCAACCCGGAGCAAGAAAATAGCGGCGTCAACCGTCTTCTTCTGGATTACACAAGAACACCTTTCGAGTTCTATCATATGTTTCTGTATATCTTCCCGAACCTTGGACTGTGACTACACGACCTCCCCCTCCACTCCCGCTCAAATTCCAACATTGCTTCAACGCCAGTTCCAGTTGGTTCAGCTGAAGTAACTCCCTGTCGCCGCCAACGACCCCGCTCATAACATCCAATGCCTGGTGCAGTTTACCCATCGTGCTCCTCCCCTCTCCCCTTTCCCGATACATCACCGCGTACCCCCCCCCCCCCCCCCCCCCCCCCCCCCCCCCCCCCCCCCCCCCCCCCCCCCCCCCNCCCCCCCCCCCCCCTCTGTCACTACTAAAGATCCATGTGTTAAATGTACCCATCGTGCTCCTCCTCTTCCACGAGACATTACCGTCAATGACCCCCCGCAGTCACTCCATCCAACATGTGTTGCAGCGACCCCGTCGTGCTCCTCCGCTTTCCATATTCATCACCACCCACGATCCTCCCCCCGTCACTACATCCAGTATGTGTCGCCCCCCCTCCTTATATCCAATACCTGTTGCAGTACCCATCGTGCTACTCCCCCTACTCGGACGACGACGAGGGCGCGGGGCCCCGCGACGGGCGTCCGGACTGTCCTCACCGCTACGGGTCCATCCTGTCGTCGTCCTACTTCACGTTGCTCAACCTCTTCGGGGAGTTCCCGCTCATGGACAACCACAGCACCGCGGGGCGTTTCATCGGCGTGTTCACGGCTGTGGTAAGGGAGCAGGGTTGGTGTGGTAAGGGAGCAGGGTTGGCGTGGTAAGGGAGCAGGGTTGGTGGCGGGGGACAAAGATTGGATTTTCTTCCCAAGCGTAATTTAAGTTCAGCGTGGCACTTGTTGGCGAACGGACTTTTCGGCTCCCCGTTCTTCTAAAGCGAGACTAGTTTTCCTCTGCTCGTGCCTTCGGTGAATTCTATCGTTGTAGCACACCCTGGATTGGACCACATGTTGTTCACCATCTCCATTGTGCCCACCCCGTTGGGCCGGCGAAAAGTCAGCCTATCGCTCCGTCCCGGCATGGTAGGCTTGCGAGGTCAATGGTCAAACGACCACGGCATACACGACTATGAGTGCACCCTCCCCCCTCCCCTCCCCCCCCCCCCCCCCCCCCCCCCCCCCCCCCCCCCCCCCCCCCCCCCCCCCCCCCCCCCCCCCCCCCCCCCCCCCCCCCCCCCCCCCCCCCCCCCCCCCCCCCCCCCCCCCCCCCCCCCCCCCCCCCCCCCCCCCCCCCCCCCCCCCCCCCCCCCCCCCCCCCCCCCCCCCCCCCCCCCCCCCCCCCCCCCCCCCCCCCCCCCCCCCCCCCCCCCCCCCCCCCCCCCCCCCCCCCCCCCCCCCCCCCCCCCCCCCCCCCCCCCCCCCCCCCCCCCCCCCCCCCCCCCCCCCCCCCCCCCCCCCCCCCCCCCCCCCCCCCCCCCCCCCCCCCCCCCCCCCCCCCGCGGGCGCCCGGGGTACGCCTCCATTTTCAGGTGGCGGTGGCCGTTTTCGCGATCCCGACCGGTATCTTCGGCGCCGGGTTCGAGGACATGATCCAACACAGAAAGCAGGGCAAGCAACAACAGGAAGACGAGCAAGCCGCCGCCTACGCCGCAGGCGCCGTCACCGCCGCCGCTGGAGACGGCTCTGGCTCGTCCGCCGGGGGCTACTTCACCCTCGCTCCTGCCGCCCCGGGCGGACCGGACGGCGGCAACTCGGTGGACGTTTCCGACCACGCTTACGGCGGCGGCGCCGCGGTTGGGGGCGCTGCGAGTGGGGGAGGGTATGGGTTCGAGTTCTTGGACACCAGCACGCGAGCCGGGAAGACGTACCGCGCGTTTGTGCTGGCGGTGGTCGTGCTGGACATCCTAGCGTTCTTTGCGTCCACCACGTTCTATTTGCAGGTGAGGGGGCGCCGAAAATAACAGGCGTAAGACCCCACTGTTTGTTGGATCATAGAGAGCCAACAATCCTGGTGGTGTTTGTTGTTTTGTGGCTCTTCTTTTGCTTCTGTCTGTTTTGTTCATTAGACTGGAAGACGACAGCAGTAGTGAGTGAAGAGAGACGGAGCTTCTTGCCAAACGGTTGGATTCGGCTGGTGCCCTCGGTGGTTGCTGTGTCGGGTTGGTTTCGTAAACTTCTTTTTGGCTCCGTTTCGTGGTTGAACCAACTGAGTGCATGGAGCAGTTTCTCCCACGAACCCTTCCTCCTTTTCCCTCCGCTGGTTGATCTAACGACGCGATTTGGTCTCGTGCTTGTGTTCTACGTTGCCGTCTTTGCTGTGATGAACCGCCCAGGATGGAAGGCTCTTCGGCGCAGGCGTGGCCTTGGGCGCGCTCGAGATCCTCTCCGTAGCCGTGTTCACCATGGACTACGTCGCCCGGGTCATGAACGCCGCCTCTTCCTCATCCTCCTCCGCCGGTGGTTGCTGCAGCGGCGGCGCCATGCGGTACGTCTTGAGCTTCTACGGGGTGGTCGACCTCATGTCGGTGCTGCCGTTCTTTCTGGGACTGCCGTTCTGCGGTGGGCTGCGCGACCTCTCGCCGAAGCTGCTCCCGACTCTGGTGCGTAGGAGGGTGTTGGCTCATGAACTTGCAGGAATTTCATGTAGTGAAGTTTTTTCTATCCCGACTCTGGTAAGTGCAAGGGGCGCGATGTGTTGGCGTTTGAGTTTGGAGGAATCAGTTAAGTTTTCACGGATTCTCTCCCTACTCAAGAGGGGTGCGAGCTGTGTTGCGCCGGAACTTGCAGGAGGAGAAGGTGTTTTTTTTCCCGACGCTTGTTGCCGTTCCAGGTGATGTTTTTTCTCTGAGAGGGAGGGGCGCGGTCTCTTGGCCCGTGTCCTTCCCTTCCGGGCGTTACTTTTGCTGCGGAAAGCCTGTCGTTGCCGGCCGGGTTAGTGCTTGCACCCAATTTCGTCGGCCCCCCCACGGTTTGGTTGTTCTTTTCTTCTGAGTATGCCCGAGCCAATGCTTCTCAAAACAACAGCAGCGACTGACAGTCGCCGCAACAACGACAGTCTGAGCATGCCGAGACGAAGCATTTGAAACAACAGCAGTAGCAGCACCCGCAGCAACAACGATACCCTAAGTTCGCTAAACCGACGCCTTCATGCACAGCGACAACAGTAACAACGATGACCGGCATGCGGCCGAGCCAATGCTTTCGAATACCGCAGCCGCCGCAGTAACCATACCGAACGCAACAACAAGATTGCGGTGCGTGCCTGCTGTCGCTCTTGCCCCCCCCCCTTCCCGCCACGCCTTATTCAGGTTCGGTCTTGCCGGCTGATCCGCATGCTCAAGCTGGAGAGGTACGTGAGGGCCTTCGAGGTGTTCGACGACGCCATCCGAGACCAGCGCGACATCCTCGCCGTCTCCGGTTTCTTCGCCCTTGTTGCCTGGGTCTTCGCCTCCTCTCTCCTGTGAGTGCCCCATTCTCCTCACCTGCTGTCCTAGGAGAGGCTGGTGCTGCTGTGAGTGCCCCTCCCTCCTCGCCAGCTGTCTAGGAGAGGCTGGTGCTGCTGTGAGTGCCCCTCCCTCCTCGCCTGCTGCCCTAGGAGAGGCTGTTGGTGGTGCGCCGCCGGGTGGTCCTGGCGCTCGTTGGGACAGCAGGGCACTTGGTTCAACATGTGTTGTCGAGGATTTTTTCGCGGCTGTTTTGTTTGTTGTGCCCTAGGGGCATGATTTTCGCACATCTGGCGATCCCTCTAGGGAGGTTTGATCGGCACGACATGGATCTCCGTCATTTTCGTGTGCGGTTGTTTTCGTTGCTCTTGTTGTCGTTTCCTTCCGTTGCATGAGGTGTAGCTTGTTTCCTTGCAATTCTCTTTGGCCGTTTATTATTCCTTTCGCACTCGATTCGCTAAATCATACACGATTATTGGTCAATCGACACGGAAGGAGGCTAAAAAATCATCCACGGAACCCCAAATGGCAGGTTCTACACGGAGAGCGAAGGACCGGACCCCAACATGACCCCGTACTACCAGAGCGTGCCCATGGCCATGTGGGTCACCATGCTCAACCTGGCGGGAGAGGCGCCCCTGTGCGACTACACTGTTTGGGGCAAGGTACAATAAGTAGCGTCGTGCTGTATCGTAGCTTACAGCGCTCTTGCCATATTGTTGATGAGTCTAGTTGCTTGTTCTGAGGGAATTCAGGGCTTGAGTGGATGGCCACTGCGTTTCTACAACCGTACGGGATAGAAATAATCCGAGTGTTGTTTCTTGGAGCATTAGTCATGTAGTAGGTGTATCCAGTTGCTCTTTTTTCACAACATTGAATCCATCCAGACAAGCAAGAGATGGACCCATTTCGCCCGTGCTTGGCGCCCGAGTTGACAGTCCCGCGTATTCAGACCTACACGAACACCGTTTTTTCCAACCACGACCTAGGCCTACTCAAGCACCTACAACCTAGCACCTGCCCAAGTCAGGACCAGTCTAAAGCACCTATCCAAGCAACTATCAATAAAGAATGTGTTACATCAACGCCAACAATACCTATGCCGGCGCATCAACGTAGAACTTATCCATCCAACACCAACCTAGAGCTGTTCACGTTAGGGTTTGGGTGGGGTAAACGTTAGACTTGAGCCTGTTTCATGCCCCCTCCACAGTAATACAAGGTAACCTTTAGAGGTTCGTGGATTGGGACGGTTTCCATCAACTGGCTGACTCCATGGCTGAAAGGATACTCACTATGACGTAGGGTAGGACATGGGTTCGAGACTGCGCCCATCGTATTCCCCACCTTATGGGATGGTGTTTTTTAGCCCGTCAACCTGGGTGAGGTAAATATTTGCGTCCTCCTCTTGATGCATAACGGTAGTTGTGTTGCATAGCGTTTCTTTGAGAGATACCAGAGCGTCGCACGGATCCTGACAATTCGTCTCCATCCTTTTCATTGTCAAACATGCATGAGGTCTGCCTGTGTTTTTTCTGGTGCGTTTTCAGATTATCACCGGCGCCTTGGGCATCTTCGGCGTAGGCGTTTTCGCCGTACCAGTGGGTCTCCTCGGAGCGGGTTTCCAGGAGTACGTGGAGGCATTCCCCGACAAGGTTTGATATCTGCTTTGTTTTTTTCTGTCGTTGATTTCGTGGTTGATTTTGTTGCTGATGCTGGTGCTGGTGGCTCTGTTGCTGGTGCTGTTACCGTCGTCGTTGGTGTTGTTGCTGATGTTCAATTGTTGTTGTTGTTGTTGTTGTTGTTGTTGTTGTTGTTGTTGTTGTTGTTGTTGTTGTTGTTGTTGTTGTTGTTGTTGTTGTTGTTGTTGTTTCTGTTATTCTGCTACTGCGGTTGTGGCGCGTTTGTCGTTGGTACACTCCTTCGTGTTGGACCTCTTTCGGTTATGAAAAATGCGTCAGAAAACGACTTTGTTGCGTGTCATTCAACGAACCCCGCTTGACAAGCAGGAACAGGACACTCACGAGGGCAACCTGCCCATCCGCGCCGGCCTCGTGTCGGGCACTCTCAACAGCTCGGGTGAGTCAGTGCTCTGGTCCTTTGGCGCCACCCACTATTTCTTCTGTGAGACATATGATAACAACGTCAGAACGTGCGTATGTTGACGGTGATCCTACCAAGAGTCGTGCATGAAACGTTGGTCGGTGCCGGAAGGAGTACGCGGATGATAATCACGCGGCTACCGCAATCAATAAGTCCACACTCGCGCGCCTTGGTGCCGGTGGGCAGCCCGTTGTTGTTTTTCATATTTATCTGCTGCTGGCGTGAAAGGGCTTCACCAGAAACAGGGTAGCGGTCTTTCCGAACCCGACATCTGTTGTGCACAGATATCTATTGTGCACATCTAGATGCCGTCGAATTTGACTTCTTTTGGCGCAACACACACGAAAACGCCCAGCAAGAAATTGCGCGAATCATGCCTTCGCTCTTGTTTTCCGCGTCCTTGGTGCCCTCGTAGACCCCCACCCGGTTTGCATCGGAAATATTCTCCATCAAGCTGTGCACCGGGCGTACGTTCTGGCGCTTCTGCTGCAGTTCGAGCTCCCCACGTCACCGCTAGACCAAACGGTGTCCTTCTGTCTTGTTTCCCTTGTTTGATTGCCTCGCGTCCGCCGTCGGAACCACGGCCTCCGTCTTGTTGATTTTTCGTTGCGGTTTCGCAGCGGGCGAGCGGGGGTCTCCGGGGGGCAGTCACCAGAAGCCTCTGAGGAAGCGCTTGCACGCCTTCCTAGAGGCTAGGACCACCTGGGGCAGGCGCTTCGAGGCCTTCATCATGTTCGTCATCTTCGTCACGGTTACGCAGGTGCCTGCTAAGGGGGGACGTCGAACCTGACGCGTAGGAAAGGGGGGGGGGGGGGGGGGGGGGGGGGGGGGGGGGGGGGGGGGGGGGGGGGGGGGGGGGGGGGGGGGGGGGGGGGGGGGGGGGGGGGGGGGGGGGGGGGGGGGGGGGGGGGGGGTACTCGTGGAGGTAGAATCTGATGTGAAAGAGCGAGCCCCGGTGCGGCAGAACCGCGCACTGCGTGGCGCGATCGAATTAGATGATAAGTTACTTTCGTCCAATTTTGTCGAGTCTGGGGTAGCTTCTCCCCCCACAGGTTCGCGACAGGTGCCGCGGTCGGTACGCATCGCTGACAACCAACGGGCCTATCATTCTCGCCTTTTCCGCCCCACTACCGCGTGTCAGGTTATCCTGATGACCATGCCGTCGGTGTGCGAGGACGAGAACCACTGCCCAACGGTGTTCGACAACGTGGAGCTCGTTGCCGTGGTGATTTTCACCCTCGAGTACGCCGCTCGGTTGTACGCCGCGCCGGAGGCCTACCCGGTACGGTGCCTGCCCGTATCTTTTGAGGTCCCTGGGATCTTGGAAGAACTTATGTTACACACCAACCCCGTATGTGTGTGTGTGTTTTCCAGCCCCTCCGGCGGACAGGATGAAGAAAATAGAGAAACGCCAACTTTTCGCTCCTCACGCTTTGCCAAAACAGTCTCGTGCTAAAAAGCAACTTGCAAACTTTTGTACGTTTCGGAGGGCTTTCTTGCTCACGAAAAGGCCGAGAGTGACACGAGAACATATGCTGAGGGGAGCAACACAAACTTGATGTCAACACCGTTTTCAACAGGGGTTGCTTCCGTGACACTTGGACGGACTTCTCAGATAGCGTTGCCATCCCGAGTGTGCATACGCCGCGCCAGAGACCTCCCCACATGAGGCGGAATCTCAGCCGATCGCCGTCATTTTGGCGGGGAATCGAACACGCCATGTCACGAGATTCCCTCGGAATTCTCCGAAAAATCTGGTGCCGATTTGAACTTGCCTCCTCCCCCGGCTATTTCATCTCGCCACCTCTCCGGCTACCCGCGTGACGAGTGAGAGCCCTTCTCAGGATGCCCGTCTACTGCTGTCTATCACTCGAGATAACACACCCCACTCAAGATAATACACAGAGGTGGCAACACATCTACGGGTCAACACGCGCCCGATACAACTACTTTAAGATCTACGCAGGGCTAGGTAGAATACCACGCCCCCGCCAACGACACACCCTTTGACAACATTTTGGAAACCACAACGTTCATCACCGGGGGTGGCTAGGGTGTTTCTTGTGTAGTACCAGTATTCGCTACGCGACCGCGGTGTAGTCGTCCCCCCTTTTCCCTCGCGTGAACAGTGTCAGACCAAAGCTACCGTTTGCCGTCATCCGTGCCACACAGTTCATCGTCCCCCTTGTCTTCTCAATCCTGTCCCCACTACTACGATCCTCCTCTTTCTCACACCTGTACTATCCTCGTCTTTGTCTTGGTGTCTTGCAGGAGAAGTCTGCCTGCATGGCCCGTCTCCGCTACATGGTGTCGTTCTACGCGATGGTCGACTTCCTAGCCATCTTCCCCTACTACGTCGCCCAAATGTCCGCACGGGTCGATGAGTACGACAACTACCTCCGGCTGCTGCGGCTCCTCAGGATCATCAAGGTGGTTTTTTGGAATGTTTGGTATTGGTCGGGTTTGTTTTGCTGACCGGTCACTGCACGGATTTTTTTTCGCGGTCATCGGGTATGCGACGTATGTCACGCAAAGGGAAGAACCCAGGACCCCTTGCGCCTCTCGCACCTTCTGAACGCACGAGTTTACCAGGTTTCGTGTTAAGTTTGTTCTTGCTCTCGTGAACACTGTTTTGTGTTTTGTATATATGTCGAAGCTGAAGTTTCGCGCGCGTGTCCCGGTCATTTCTTGTGTGTGGGGACCAAACCGCAGCTCGACAAGTACGCCCCCTGCGTGAGCTTGATCGACGACGTGTTCCGCCTCAAGTGGAGGGGCCTCCTCGTCGCTGGCTACGCGTCGGCGGTGATGCTGGCGTGGTTCGGGTCGCTCATGTACCTCGTCGAAAGGGACGACAATGACGTCCAGGTCTGCGAAAGCGTTCCGGCCTTTGTTTTTCGCTGTACGGCAGTAAATAGCGATCCAGGCATAATACCGGTGCGACCCAGCCGATTTCACCGGTATCATTGCGAGCAACCGGCATTCTTCAGAGTATGAAACGATTTGAATGTTCCGCTTGTGCCAGACGATTTTAACGGGACTGCCATTTGTCGACCAGCATTTTAGCGGAACCACTACTGTAGTAGTTGTTCTTCGCCTCGAGCGGTAGTCAGGATCGTCTTTGTTCTTGGCGTGTGCACCCAGGATTAAGCAACACAAAAGGCTGGACGAATGGGGTTGTGTACGGCCCATAGGGTGTTGCCCGTGTTCCTCATCGAGAAGAGGCGACAACAGAAGGCCAAGTTGGCCCAGCGATGGTGGTCTGGAATTCGGCCTTCGAGGAACTGGTCTTCGCTCGAACGGCAAAACACGGGTCGGAAGACGGAAGCAGTAGCGAAATACTCCGCTGGGGCTACTGCTAGTGGTCCCCTTGCCGGGTAGGACGCGGTGCCGCTGGCGGTTGGTTACGCTGACTACAGAGTGGTTCGACGGGCACGGGTGTGTCCGGCGGGCACGTTCAGGTTGGGCGCTAATGTTGGAGTGACTAGTTACTGAAAAATCCGTCGGGGGAAAGAGTCAGGCTTGTGTGGAAAGTCTTGTCGTGGCCCATTCGCCACCGGTCGACATCTTCCGCAGTGGTCGTTTCGGTCTGAGGCCGGCATGACTTGTCCCGCACGTGGGTGCGTCGCGTGAAAGCGTCACGGCGTGTGTTTTGTCGTTGGCTGCGTGTAGCGACAGCAAGGCAGACCATGAAGTGAAAGAGAAGGTGGCTGATTGTTTATAGTACCACTTATATATTTGTTTTTGCCACCGTCAAGTTTAACAAACTGACGGTTTAGAGACCGATAGCGGCGTCTCTTTGGCGGCATACCCATCCGTGCTTTTTCTCTCCTATCGTGCCCCCACTCTCTGGCACGAAACCGCAGATTCAGTGCTACTTCGAGTCCCAGCGATTTTCGTCGGTGCTGAACGCCCTGCAGTACGACCTCATTCTCCTAACGGGGGACTACCCCCTCATCGACTTCACCCTGGCAGGGCGTTACATCAACGTCGTCCAGGTGTGAGAGTGAGAGTGGCAGTGAGAGTGAGGGTGAGAGAATAGAGAGTAGTATTATTGTGAGAGATGCGGTGAGAGTAAGAATGAGAATGATACTGAGAGAGTGAGAGCTAGAGCTAGTGAGAGGGTGAGAGAGATAGATCGATAGATAGATAGAGAGAACGATAGCGAAGAATTCTAGATGATGCTGCGTCGAGAGAGCGACCCCGTGGGGACCATGTTACCGAATGGGATACGTACAGAATACCTCACCCACCTGGCTTTGACGTGCAGGTTTCAGTAGAAGTAGTGCCAAGGCGCACAGATTCCGCACCAAGCTGGATCGTTCGGATTTTCGCGAAGCATTTCACAGGGGGCCCTTTCCAAGATTACCTTTTCTGAAGTGAAACCACTCCGTTTCGGTGTCTTGTTGAACATATTACTTGTAGATGTTCCGCTGCGGACGATGTTTTGACATGACTCTTTCCTGTTCCTCGTGGCCTTGTGTGTTGCGGTTACAAAATTGCCGGCGTAGTGTCGTTTGTTGCACACGTACACCTCGCAGTTTGCGTGTCAGTAGACCCCCGCCGCCCGCCCTATCCGCGGTTTTATTTACCGTGACCCTGCCCAATTTCCCCCTCCTTTCGGCTTGCCCTCCTCGTGGCTCTTGGAAACCTCTTTTATTCTGCGAATCGTTCGCACGCTGGTGCCGTCGTCACCTTGGGTCGTCATCGCCACCGCCGCCGCCGCCGCCGCCGCCGCCGCCGCCGCCTTCGTCGGCGTTGCTACTGCTATGGTTTCTGTTGTTATCGTTTTCGTCGTCGCGTTTGTCATGTGCTTGTCGTCTGCCGGTCGTCATCGTCGTCGTCGTCGTTGTTCAAGATTTTTGTGGCGGTCGGAGTGGTGGCCGTGCCGTCGGGCTTGATCGCGAACGGCTTCTCCCAGGTGTTGGAGGAGAGCAGGAACGCCAAGCACGCCAAGCGGAGAGCGGCGGCCATTCTCCTGCAGAGACAGGTACGGCAGCATCAATAGATCGATCGACTGCGTGGACCCGGTCAAGCACGAAGGAAAGAATACCTCTGTATGCCCCCCCCGCACCCGTTGTTCCAGTTGTCCTCTTGTTGAGGATTGCCTTCTATCGGTGATGACGGAAATTTGCTTCCCGCCAGAGGTACACATACCAGGCATCGGAGAGCACTGGGCAGCATACTGATTAACCGCTCCCTATTCTAGATAGAGGATTATAGATACAGGTAACAACAATCCATGCGACAATAGTGGCGCATGACCCCCCCCCCCAGGCGTGTCGCCGAGACGGGACGCATTTTGTTCGAAATTCAGTGTTCGCAGTCAGGGCCTTTTCTTGCCCATTCTCCCGCTCCATACCTTCTTGTTGTCTCCTTCGCATTAGGGTTTGTCATGCGTTGCACTCAAGCCAGAGTCTACATGAGCGGGTACACGCTTTCCTCGTTACCCTTGTTACCGTGTTCACTGTTGAAAAAAGTCGTCCTGCACCCTCTCCCCAGCAACCTCCACTACCCTATCAAAGATTTTGACCTTTGAGGAAGAACTTGGTCGGTCGCAAGCTCGCCCCGTAAGTGCGAAAAGAAGAAATCGACAAAGGTCCAAGAGGCATTTAGTGCGACGATCCACAGAGACGAAAAGGTTCCGAAACAATACACAAAAACACACAACGAGGGCGACCGTCTGTGCTCGTATTTTCTTCCCTTGGACAAGACACGTCTCGCCAAACGCGGACGCCTTAGTGATCTGTAAAGAACAAACGCACTCCTACTCGCCCTGGTACTCATAGAAAAGTGGTTGTCACTTCCCTCAGCGGGCGGCCTGGCCTTTTGCACCAGTCACGATCGCTCTTATCTCACGGCGAGGTTCAACCGAAAGCGAGTCTTGAAGCACATATTTGTTTTGTTCCTCCTTGGCCTTGAACGACCCGCTGACAGGTCCGGGGTCATCTGGCGCGACGGCAGTTCCACTTGGTAGTGGAGGGCGCGCAGCACCAAGAAGCGGAGAGAAAGCGGCAGAAGCTGCTCATGGAGCTGGACTACGAGGCGCACTTGCCGGTGTACGACAGGGTGAGTGTTTTATCTGTCTTCATTGTGAGCATCGACCGCGCTAGCCGGCTGACCAATGAGAAGACGCCAGTTCTCAAAACGGAAAAGCTTTGGAAGGCCATGAGCTGTCCCCCCTTGTGAGGCTGTGTGTGCGCGGGTGCGAGTGTGTTTACGTCTTTGGTTCTCATCGACTGCACTTTTGAATCGGCTGGCCAGTTGTGCGGAGTGAGTCCTTTGGTTCTCATCGACTGCACTTTTGAATCGGCTGGCCAGTTGTGCGGAGTGAGTCCTTTGGTTCTCATCGACTGCACTTTTGAATCGGCTGGCCAGTTGTGCGGAGTGAGTCCTCTGGTTCTCATCGACTGCACTTTTGAATCGGCTGGCCAGTTGTGCGGAGTGAGTCCTCTGGTTCTCATCGACTGCACTTTTGAATCGGCTGGCCAGTTGTGCGGAGTGAGTCCTCTGGTTCTCATCGACTGCACTTTTGAATCGGCTGGCCAGTTGTGCGGAGTGAGTCCTCTGGTTCTCATCGACTGCACTTTTGAATCGGCTGGCCAGTTGTGCGGAGTGAGTCCTCTGGTTCTCATCGACTGCACTTTTGAATCGGCTGGCCAGTTGTGCGGAGTGAGTCCTCTGGTTCTCATCGACTGCACTTTTGAATCGGCTGGCCAGTTGTGCGGAGTGAGTCCTCTGGTTCTCATCGACTGCACTTTTGAATCGGCTGGCCAGTTGTGCGGAGTGAGTCCTCTGGTTCTCATCGACTGCACTTTTGAATCGGCTGGCCAGTTGTGCGGAGTGAGTCCTCTGGTTCTCATCGACTGCACTTTTGAATCGGCTGGCCAGTTGTGCGGAGTGAGTCCTCTGGTTCTCATCGACTGCACTTTTGAATCGGCTGGCCAGTTGTGCGGAGTGAGTCCTCTGGTTCTCATCGACTGCACTTTTGAATCGGCTGGCCAGTTGTGCGGAGTGAGTCCTCTGGTTCTCATCGACTGCACTTTTGAATCGGCTGGCCAGTTGTGCGGAGTGAGTCCTCTGGTTCTCATCGACTGCACTTTTGAATCGGCTGGCCAGTTGTGCGGAGTGAGTCCTCTGGTTCTCATCGACTGCACTTTTGAATCGGCTGGCCAGTTGTGCGGAGTGAGTCCTCTGACGGAACCAAGAAATCGACGTGGCGTTTGATATTCAAATCTTGATCCTGTTACGACGTCAGGGTCCTCCAGTAGCAGCAGCAGCAACACTAATCGCTTGAAACCCCCAAATGCCTATGAAGAACTATTAGAACAGCTTCGGTGGACCCCGTAGGATTGAAACAACCACTGGTTCTACGCGACCCTCAACATCAATGAAAGGGTGCAGGATCTCGCAGCGACCATTTTGTTGACGGGAATGGTGACCGTGTCCGGAACCTCTACCGACAGAGGAGCAGGGTGTGCCAGGTGTTTTCTCCTTGAACGCAAGGCCTCTCGACGCGTATTTTCGTTCCGATAAACATGCTCGTCTCTGGACGCCCGCAACCGCCGTCTAGCTGGACTTATTCCCCCAATCACTGCGAGGCCCTAGGAGGAAATACGGCAACAGTGCTCCGTATTCCTGAAGGCAATAAATAACGTCACGCTGAAACCTTCACATCAAGAAACGGTGTTTCAATCGCCACAAGAGTATCTGGGAAGTCCATGGCGGGCTCTGTGTATGTTTTTTTTTAAAGTTTTGAAATTGTAACGGCAACAGTTTGGGCGTGCCAACTGGCCGGTAATTGCCCTTGCCCATTCCACGGCCACAACTGTCTCGACAAACCACTAGTAACTTCCCCTCTCTTCCCCCTCCCAACTCCTGCTCTCTGTTCGCGTACGGGTCGTCTTCTCCTCCCTCCTCTCGCCCGTTTCGCATCTTGGGACGGGGGGTACTACTACTTCCGTGTGCGGGCGACAACAAAATACAGTCGATGAGGATCTGCTACCGGTTTTCCACCGGGGTCACCGAGGCCGGCAAGCTCTTCGACGGTTTCGTCGCGGTGCTCATCCTGCTCAATGTCGTGGCCGTCATCGCGGAGTCGGAGCCGTCCCTCGGGGGGACGGGTGGCCCATCGGAGGGGAGGTTCCAGATATTCTTCGACGGCTTCGAGGTCAGCACGAAAAAAATAAGGACTCGAAGCCGTGTACCATCATGTGGTCGGTCCTAGCTCACGGTGGTCGTGCGAGCGACGTGGTGGTGGTGGTGGTTGTGGTCGGAGGTTGCGTATAGAAACGAGTGAGGCTGTCTTATCCTGCTGAACGAAAAATCTCCCATCAATTCCAAAGTACGGGCTTGTCCGGCAACTGGCAAACGCTAACAACACGTTGTTTTCACAGCACCTGTGCCGTGTTTGGCGGTTCTTTCTGCTTTCCCACGCTGGAACAGGCATTTTCGGTGCTGGTGTTCACGGCGGAGATCTCGATGCGGCTCTTCATCGCTCCCATCTCGTCAAAGTACGCCTTCAGCAGGTGGAAGTACCTCAGCTCCTTCTTTGGCGTCGTGGACGTGGCCTCCATCGCTCCATGGTAGGCGGGGCGTCTTCGGAAGGCGTTTTGCCCCGGGGCCGCGTGCTTCTAGATTCGGTATGTTCTGCCCGTGCTGCTGCGTGAGCGTTTTGCCAGTGAACATTTAGCGTTTTCATTGAAGACACCGCGAGACCCGTCGGTTCGTGGCGAATTTTTATTTGTGCTCGCGGGAATTCGTTTGTTTTGCCTTGAATTGCGGAAGGGCACGTCCTACAGAACGGCGTTTTCATGCGAAAACGACGGTGACGGTGACGTCCATGACGACGACAACAATACCAACAGCAACAACAAAAACATCCTCCTCATCATCATCAACAACAACAACGACAACGGCTACAATATTTCGACCGTCACGCCCCCACTTGGAAGCTGCGTATTCGTTTTTTCACATTCCATCCAATAGTTCCGGCCCTTGTTATTCTATTGGACGGTTCTTGATTCGGTTCTCCCCCAATTCCCGGGCACTCGTCCCGCAACCACCACGGAACGCCTTCCCAGGTACATCGAGACGATCCTCTGGTCTACCGGCGTCTACTTCGACGCCTCGGTCTTCCGGGTCCTCAGGCTCTTCCGGATCCTTCAGCTGGAGCACTTCGTGTCGGCCTTCACCCTCCTCGACGACGTGTGGACGGCGTCCAAGGACACGCTGGCGGCCACGGGGCTGCTGGCCCTGGTGGTGTGGGTGGGCAGTGCCTGCCTCTTCTACCTCTTCGAGAAGGTGCTGTCTGTCGATGATCTTGGCAGCTGGGACAGCAGTATGAAGTTGTTGATCCCGAGGCCTTCCCCCGTCGTGCCCAGCCCGTTGTGTTTGGTTTTTCGACTGCGTTGTATATGCTCTCGGCAGTCCTCTCGTTTACCGCAGCTCTGCTGGTCTTGTTCCTCACTTGTGCACATTTTCTTCGCACGCATGTGAACATGTTTTTTTTCCCGAAACATGCTTCGCGGTCAATCGGATCTGCTTTTCTATCCAAACGCGTTTCGCTGGCAATGTTTTTGCCTTTTGTTTTCGTGTTTCCAGGACAATATGTGTACCGGGGAGGCTTTCAGCAGCATCCCCGACGCCATGTTCTACACGGCCGTTTTCCTCGGTGGAGAGTGGTCCGAGATCGACTTCACCTGGGCGGGCAAAGTGTTGTGCTGCGTGCTGTGCGTCTTCGGCATCGTCCTCTTCGGCATTCCGGTTCGTGAAAAAATGAACAGATCGATTTTTCGTGATTATGCACACAAAGAATTGTTGTTCGTGTGCAGGAGGCGGGTGAGACAGTCGGGAGGAGTCGATTTTGTTCGTGAAAACATTGGCAATTGTTGTTGATGTGCAGGATGCGGTTAGGCAATAGCGTGGAATCCACGTGATGCCCTCCTTACCGTAGTATTTCACTCCACATGTTTTAGCCTGGAGGATGTGCCAGTTAGAAGACTTTCCTCTCTTAATTTTTTCGAAGCCAAGGTAAGGTTACCGGACGGTTTCGCACGATGCGAGAGTGTCTTGCGAGAGTGTTCCAAAACGTTGACTGGGGAGTCTGTCCTTTCTATTTAGTAGTTCCCGAGCCCGGGTAGACCGGAATACACTGTCAATGGTCAAGTACTTGATTATGTAAATGAAAAGCAACAGGCTGCCCTTCCCTGTGTCCATAATTGCTGCGAGACGTTCAAGGGGATGATGGTAGTTGCCACCCCCCACTTTCCCATCTGTTGTCGACAGGTCGGAACGGTCTTCGAGGCATTCCAAGACGTGATGCAGGAGGTCAATGAGGAGGAAGAGGAGGACAAACCTGGACGTGACGGGAGCGCGGGAGAGACGTGCGGCATCCAGATCGGTGAGTTTTTATGATGCCAATAGGCATGACAGGTTTCGGTGGATTGCGGGTTTCCTTGATCATTGCACGGGGCACCGGCTGCGCGTGCTCTTACCCCACCTACAAGGAGTGTACAACAAGCGTGACATGTGCTTCACTCGGGGTGGGAAAACAAGAGACAGAGTGTGTGAGTGCGTGTGAGAGAGAGTGAGAGAGTGAGAGAGATGGATAGATAGATAGATAGATAGATAGATAGATAGAGAGAGAGAGAGAGAGAGAGAGAGAGAGAGAGAGAGAGAGAGAG